AATGTGAAGAAATAACAGTATTTCCTCACAACCCTGTCCTCTCTGACCACTTTCCAATAACCTTCAGGATTACTTTAACAGAGTTCTCCTCCCCCAAAAGAAGGTTCAATTTTAGTAGATCTTTATCAGATAGTGCAGTTATAAATTTTAAAGAATCTGCTTCACTTTCTCTCTCATCTGTGTCACTGAGCAGTGCTGCAGAGTGCAAAAGCTTAGCTTATTCCCCTTCACAGGTTGATGATTTTGTTGATGGGGTTGCTAGTTCTCTGCGTATTGCCTTAGACAACGCAGCTCCTTTGAAAATGAAAACCGTTAAAAATAGAAAGCTTGCTCCTTGGTTTAATGCAGAGCTGCGTACTTTGAAGCAAAATGCTAGGAAACTGGAGAGAAAATATCGCTCCACAGGCCTGCGAGAGTCCTTCGTAGTCTGGAAAAATGGTTTACTGCTGTATAAGAGGACTCTTTGTAAAGCAAGAGCAGCATACTTCTCCTCATTAATAGAGGAGAATAAGAATAATCCTAGATTTCTTTTTAATACAGTTGCCAAACTCACCCAGAGCCATAGCTCTGTTGAACCGTCCATTCCACCTGCTCTTAGCAGCAATGATTTTATGGGATTCTTTATAAATAAGATTGATCTTATTAAAAATAAGATCATAAGCACTCCTCTATCCGCGATTGTACCTGAGGTAGTCATGGAATCTGAACCGGGTTTAGACTGCTTTGATCCAGTTGAACTCTCTGAATTAGCAAAATTATTGTCTTCATCTAAGCCTTCAACTTGTATGTTAGATCCAGTTCCAACCAGGTTATTTAAGGAGGTATTCCCTTTGATCTCCTCCTCCATTTTAGATGTGATTAATCTATCTCTGTTACAGGGATATGTACCTAAAGCTTTTAAGGTCGCTGTAATTAAACCTCTGCTTAAGAAACCGTCTCTTGACCCAGATGACTTGGTCAATTATAGACCTATATCCAATCTTCCTTTCTTATCCAAAATTCTTGAGAAAGTAGTTGCCAAACAAGTTTGCGATCACTTCCACCATAATGAACTTTTTGAAGAGTTTCAGTATGGCTTTAGAGCTCATCATAGCACTGAAACAGCTCTGGTGAAAGTCACTAATGATATTCTCATGGCCTCAGATAATGGACTTGTATCTGTGCTCGTCCTGTTGGATCTTAGTGCTGCATTTGATACAGTTGACCATAATATTCTTTTAGAAAGACTTGAATATTTTGTTGGAATTAAAGGAACAGCACTAGACTGGTTTAAATCTTATCTATCTGATCGAATTCAGTTTGTTCATGTTAATGATAGATCTTCAACACGCTCAAAGGTTACCTGTGGAGTACCACAGGGATCAGTGCTAGGACCAATTCTCTTTACTTTATACATGCTCCCAATTGGTAGAATTATTAGACAGCATGGGATTAATTTCCACTGTTATGCTGATGATACCCAGCTATATCTGTCTATAAATCCAGATGAAGCTAACCCATTACATAGATTACAGGCATGTCTTGAAGACATAAAAACCTGGATGACTCTTAACTTTCTGCTCCTGAATGCAGACAAAACAGAAGTTATAGTCTTTGGACCAGAGTCTCTGAAAAAGAAACTGATTAGCCAGTCACTTCATTTGGATGGGATTAAACTGATTTCAGATAATAAAGTAAAAAATCTTGGTGTTATTTTTGATCAGGACCTGTCATTTAAATCCCACATCAAAGAGGTTTCTAGAATTTCCTTCTTTCATCTGAGGAACATTACAAAAATTAGAAATATCCGGTCCAGGGGTGATGCTGAGAAACTAGTCCATGCATTTGTTACTTCAAGGCTGGACTATTGTAATTCTTTACTATCAGGAAGTCCACAAACTGTAGTTAAAAGCCTTCAGCTGATCCAAAATGCTGCAGCCAGAGTTCTAATGAAAATTAAAAAGAGAGATAATATCTCGCCTATCCTGGCTTCTCTTCATTGGCTTCCTGTTAAATCAAGAATAGAATTTAAAATCCTCCTTCTCACATATAAAGCCTTAAATGGCCAAGCTCCATCTTATATCAGAGATCTGATTGTTCCTTATGTTCCTAACAGAGCACTTCGCTCTCAATCTGCAGGTTTACTAATCGTTCCTAGAATTTCTAAAAGTAGAATGGGAGGCAGATCTTTTAGTTATCAGGCTCCTCTCCTGTGGAACCAACTACCAGTTTTAGTCCGTGAGGCAGACACCCTGTCTACTTTTAAGGCTAGGCTTAAAACTTTCCTTTTTGATAAAGCTTATAGTTAGGGTGGCTCAGGTTATCCTGAGCTATCTCTATAGTTATGCTGCTATAGGCTTAGACTTTTGGAGGACATAGGGACCCCCATTTCATCATTCTGCTTCATTCTCTCTCTGTTCTCCTATTCTGCAGAATCTGTTAGTTCAATCTCTAACCTTCTGCTCTCTCTGCTTTTCCTCAGAGTAGCTTTGCCTCGTCTGTTCCTGTTTGGCTGTGACGTCATCCTGGAAAGAAACATCAGCTGTGCTGCTTCTATCAACACCCTTGTTTATAGATGTTGGAGATCGGCCGGTTTTCCAGTGTGGTCCTGTTTCTCTGACCGTGACTGAGTGGATGTGCTCTCTTCGTCCTCTGGCATGGGAGCTGCCTTGGAGCTCGTCTGCCTGGCTGTGTGTTTCCTGGGCGGGGCCGCCTTTTACAGCTGCTTTTTGTATCTCTGCTTCTGTCTCCTTGAACCCCAGTCGGCCTCGGCAGATGGCCGCTCACACTGAGCCTGGTTCTGCTGGAGGTTTCTTCCTGTTAAAAGGGAGTTTTTCCTCTCCACTGTCGCTACAAGCATGCTTAGTGTGGGGGATTGTATTTGAGTCAATGAGTCAATGCAATCAACTGGTTTTCCTTAGATAGAAAACTTTGTATCAATTTGACTGTATGATCTGGTTGAACTGTAAAGTGCCTTGAGATGACATGTGTTGTGAATTTGGCGCTATATAAATAAACTGAATTGAATTGAATTGAATTCTGCTCATAAAGTTCATGAATGCTTCTTACCATATAACACAGTAGTGGCAGAATCATGCTGCAGGGGATATTATGGATAGGGGATTATAGGAAGATGGATACAATAAATTTTACACTAACTTCTAAAAGGGCAAAGAAAACATCAAACAAATAGCCGACACTACAAGTAAATGGCTTAGATTTTAAAAACAGTCCAACAGATTAAACTGAGCCCAGATTATTTCTAATCCACTTGGATTAAGTTTGCAAAATAACAGTGAACAAGATACTTAATTAAAAAAGAAAATAAATGCTTTAGTTTTCTAATGTTTTTTGCTGCTTTCTTGTAGTACCATACAGTCCATTACATAAAATCCTATTGGAATATGCAGAGGTTTGTGACTGTGACCTAAAAAAAACTACCCCAAAGGTGTGAATACTTTTCCCATCCATATTCAGATTATGTTAGCTTTCATGTATTAGTTATTGCAGTTATCCCTAAGTAAACTGTAGAAGCTTTGCATTACCTTTATTCATCATAATTATAACTCAATCTATAAATAATAATAAACTCAACTGGGTGGAGTGATGATCCCACACTCATGTCATAAAGTAAAACGTCATTTATTCACCTTGAAATAAGGAAAAAAACATTAAAATGTTAAGTTGTTGACAGTAATATCATCCCTGTGCTGTTTGACCTTATTTGTTCAGAGTTATTTAAGACTTAAAAAGCGTCTTTAAGAGTTGAGGGAAACGTGAGAAGGTCCCTGAAAGCAGAGCAGCAGGGATGTCATGGCTACCGAGCAACAAGTTAAAGCTGCGCGCTTTCACCAACTTTCTTCTCTCAGTTAAACACCTTGGAAACTATGGAAGAGGATTAGGGACACTGAAAAAATAAAAAAAGTTAACTGATTTTTAAATATTATTTCAGTCTATTATGGGAAAAAAGTCAGAATCCTGACTTTAATCTCAGAGTTCTGACTTTAATCTCAGAGTTCTAAATGTAATCTCAGAATTCTGACTTTAATCTGAGTAGATGGGCACCGTATAGAAAAAGATTTGGGAGCACCCAGCTTCACTGACAAAGATGAGAGAAACAGGTTGGTGGAAAAGTGTTTGTTAGCTGTCAGAATTAAGTCTGCAAGCCTAAATTTCTGAGATTAAAGTAAGAATTGTGAGAAAAAAGGCAGAATTGTGAGATTAAAGTCAGAATATGAGGAAAAGTCAGAATTATGAGGGGAAAAGGCGAAATTATGAGGAAATAAGGCAAAATTATGAGGAAATAAGGCAAAATTATGAGGAAAAAGGCAGAATTATGAGGAAAAAGGCAGAATTATGAGGAAAAAGGCAGAATTATGAGGAAATAAGGCAGAATTATGAGGGCAAAAAGGCAGAATTATGAAAAAAAGGCAGGATTTTGAGAAAAAGGCAGGATTATCAGAGAAAAAAGGCAGAATTGTGAGATTAAAGTAAGAATTATGGGGAAATGGGCATAATTATAAGGAAATGGGCCGAATTATGAAGAAATAAGGCAGAATTAGGAGGAAAAACAGGCAGAAGTATTAGGGGAAAAAGGCAGAATTATCAGAGAAAAAGGGCAGAATTATGTGATTAAAGTAAGAATTATGAGGAAATTGGCAGAATTATGAGGACAAAAGGTAGAATTATGAGGGAAAAGGCAGAATTGTGAGGAAAAAATGCAGAATTATGAGATTAAAGTAAGAATTATGAGGGAAAAAGGCAGAATTATGAGATTAAAGTAAGAATTATGAGGCAAATATGCTGAAATATGAGAAAAAGGCTGAATTATGAGAAAAAAGTCAGAATTGTCAGAATTCCATCTCTCATACTATACTGAAATAAAATGTAAAAATCATTTAACTTCTTCCAGTCGTGTTCTGTAGGAACCAAACAAAGCGAGGCGCAGAGTAAGCAGGCCCCGGTCAGCTCCCAGTCTACACGCCAGGCTAAATAAGCTGGAAACTTTGCAGCCTTCTTACCTCAGGCAGCGTGGAAAGGGCGCAGCCTTTAAACGCATAATAATCCTCCCATTACGGCTCCTCCAAAGCTCCCAACTGGACCGAAGCGTCCCGGTGTAGCAGCACAAGAAGCTCGGTGGAAAAGTTTTCCTCCCAATTGAGCGCAGCAGTTGTTAGTGTTTCCCAGGACAACTCGCTGGGAGGAGTCTGCTCTGGGTTCCCTGCGCACAGGAAGTCCGCTTTAGTAAACTTTTTAGCGACTAAACTGGCAGAAAAGAGCAACGTTATGGGGAAAAATAACGGCGCAAAGGTGGGTGAGTGCCGCAGAAGGAGGAAAGGCTCACCCCGGTTCCAACTTTTCTCACGCGCTCTGATTGCGAAAAAGTCAGAAGCAACATCCTGTCCTTTCACAATGAAGCATCTCTGAATAAACACACCTTTATTTCCCTTCTTAAACTAACCCAACACATTACCTACAATGACAATAAAATCCTATTTGCTATTTAACATTACAAAGAAATGTCCTCTTTGTCTCTTTTCATGCAGTCCAGTCGGTAAAGCAGTGTTTTAAATCACCTTTTGGTTTAATTAATGTGTGCATAAATGGTTGACCTGTGTTTCCTTTGATCAAGGAGAAACTCCTCTTTCACTCAATAAGCACCACTTTCCTGCAATACTGTAAGGATAAGTAAGTAAAGGAAGCCGATAGATGGAGAACAGAAATGCAAATGGTTTGTTTTTTGCATCATTTGCAAAAATAACTTGGGTGATATAGCAGTATCTCTACATATAGAAATGCTCAACCGTAGGAGATTCTGCTACAAAAGGTGATTTTCGTGCTTCTTTGTTGTTTAGTAAGTTGTGTAAACAACAATAGTTATAATCATAATTATGTAGTCATTTTAGTGGTTTAACATTTCAGTGTTTATTAATACACTATAAGAAAAACATGTGGTTCTATGTTATTAATAACTATCATTTGATTCAATATTATTTGAAATGTAGGTTATTGAGAAAAAAAGTTACATAGAGGTAAATAAAGTTTTTTAAAACAGCTTTTATTTTGAAGGTCATGCCCTAAACCACTCATATGTAGATAGGGACAGCACATCAGCTGACACATTACAGCACAAAGAAGAAAAAGGGGGAAAAAAGGACGGATGGGTGGAGAAAGGGGGGGAGGATTAGGTCAGTTGTTGCACATTTTTGTTTAGTTTTTGTCACACCAGTCTCTGCAACAGCACTGGTCAGTTTACACCAACTTTCTCCCCCTGCTGACAGCTGCTGGGTGACTGCAGAAAGTTTTCAAATGATTGGGGCTGATGAAGGGTTGATGATTACGGTGGCCCAGAGGTGTCGACATTAATACAAAAGCCACAACACAAATGCAAAAGCTGTAACACAAAAACAAAAGCTGCAACACAAAAACAAAAGCTGCAACTCTAATACAAAAGCTGCAACGGAAATATAAAAACCACAACTGAAGTTACGCAACAGTTGGTCATTATACACATAGACATTATATACGTAGACGCCTTATTGGAGTATATTAATATATAATTTTGTGCTTATCATATTAATATTTAATTGCAAAATATATATTTTGCATATATTTCATTCAGTTTCAGGTCAGTTTAAATAGTTATAATCTAAATAAATATGTGTAATCTAACTGAAAGGTAATTTTAGAATTAGTTTTGGTCTTTTAAGGGGTTGTTGCATGTAAGACATTATTGTGATATTATCTCTGACTCGCCTTTCATGTGATGAAAATGAGATCTAAGGGGTCTCATATTCATTCTTACAGCAGCTGTCTGAACTGAGGGCCGATCCAAGATGGCCGCCCTCCAGGCATGTCGGCGACGCTTGCCGACAGCGTCTGATGAGTCGTCTACGTATATAATGTCTATGTGCATAACCAACTGTTGCGTAACTTGCATTGTAGTTTTATATTTCCGTTGCAGCTTTTATATATATCTTTTGCGGCTTTTGTATCTATGTTGCAGCTTTTGTATTTGCGTTGCAGCTTTTGTATTTACGTTGCAGCTTTTGTATTTAAGTTGCAGCTTTTGTATTTGTGTTGCGGCTTTTGTATTTTTGTTGCAGCTTTTGTATTTGCGTTGCAGCTTTTGTGTTTACATTGCAGCTTTTGTAATTGTGTTGCGGCTATTGTGTTTATGTTGCAGCTTTTGTATTTGTTTTGCAGGTTTTGTAATTGTCTTGCAGCTTTTGTATTTGCGTTGCAGCTTTTGTATTTGCGTTGCAGCTTTTGTGTTTATGTTGCAGGTTTTGTATTTGCATTGCAGCTTTTGTATTTGCGTTGCAGCTTTTGTATTTACGTTGCAGCTTTTGTAATTGTGTTGCGGCTTTTGTGTTTATGTTGCAGCTTTTGTATTTGTTTTGCAGGTTTTGTAATTGTCTTGCAGCTTTTGTATTTGCGTTGCAGCTTTTGTATTTGCGTTGCAGCTTTTGTATTTACGTTGCAGCTTTTGTAATTGTGTTGCAGCTTTTGTGTTTATGTTGCAGCTTTTGTATTTGTTTTGCAGGTTTTGTAATTGTCTTGCAGCTTTTGTATTTGAATTGCAGCTTTTGTATTTGCGCTGCAGCTTTTGTGTTTATGTTGCAGATTTTGTATTTGCATTGCAGCTTTTGTATTTGCGCTGCAGCTTTTGTATTTGCGTTGCAGCTTTTGTATTTGCGCTGCAGCTTTTGTGTTTATGTTGTAGGTTTTGTATTTGCATTGCAGCTTTTGTATTTGCGCTGCAGCTTTTGTGTTTATGTTGCAGCTTTTGTATTTGCGTTGCAACTTTTGTAGTACTGTTGACACCTCTGGGCCACAGTAGTATGATAATAATAATGACTAAAAATAAAAAGCACAAATTTAGAAAAAATAAAGTTACGATTCTGTCTTTAGAGAATTCTGTCAGTAGGAAAATCCTTTAATAATCAAATTATAGTCATTGTAATATGATGCACAGTTTAAGTTAGTGTGAATATGTAAATATATTTAACCCCAACCTTCAGTGTTGTGGTAAGTTAATAAGACTGATTCTAAAACTGATCAAGCATCAGAAAATCTTCTCTGATTCAGTGTTTTGAGGTTCAAAGCATCCTTTTAATATATTCTCTCTATCTGGTCACCTACTACACAGCTTGGGTCAGTTTATTTCCACTTTATTTTAATGTTTATTGAAAGCATCTTGTTCAAGATAGTGTAAGTGCATTTCTATGGTAACATCACAGAAGGTGAATATGTCGGGAAAAAAAGGAGATTGTTTTCATGCATATGTTCTTTGTTGTTGTTTTTTTATGTTTCTTGCCAAATTCCAAACCTTCCAGGGCTGCAAAAAACACTACATGGGTTTACAAAAAACATTCCATCAATAAAACACAAGGAGAAAGTTAATGAAGGTGGATGGATTTAAATATCGCTTCCACAGCAGAATCTGTTAGTCTTCATCACTTTACAACACATGAAACTGAAAACCTTATGGCTCCAAATGTAAATCAAATGCTTCTGACCTGAAATCTGTCAAATGTATCCTGTCTACTTTCCACACAAAGTTAAAAACAGTTTCTTTTTCAAAAGCCATAAGGAAAAAAACATGCAGAAAGCACCACTGATGATGCTGTGGCACATAGGCTCTATAGGCTGGAGCTGTGGCAATGCTGCAAAAATACACCACAGGTACACACATTTGCAGGCTAAAGAGACACAGAGCAAAGTCGTAATTTCTTCTTCTTTTTTTTTTTTGGTAATAGTGTCCTATATCTCCAATGTGACAATAAGAATTGTTGTCTTAATACCAAAGAGAGCACAACCAATTTTACTCTCACAAGTGGAGCATTATAGCTTTTGCCATAGTGCTCTGTTTGATTTATATATGTAAATACTTTTATTATGATTTATGAAGGGAATAATTCATGTTATATGAACACTGCATTGACAAAGTAGAAGAGGAGGGAGAAATTAGAAAAAAAAGGGAGAAAAGGTGAAAGAAAGTGGAGACAAAAGAGAGATTGACAAAACTCCACCAGTCTGCTTCATCTCCTGCAAAGAGGGATGTAAAAAGAAAATAACAACTAACTGATATAAACTACAGAAGTCAACAGAAAGGTCACAGTTTATATGCAGGTACAGAAACACAAAACGTCTCGACACCTTTCCATTCTGAAAGCCTGTTTCAAAATGATGTTTTTTTGTTCTTCAAATAGTGGACACCTAAATAAGGAAAATATCCTTATGGATGTACCTAAGCTGGTGGGCAGGGCTTTATCCCAACCAATCAGCTTCATTCTCCCTCTTTTTTATACACACAGCAGAACTAGCAGTGTTTTTCAGATTTGTATCTTAAAAACATAAAAATCTACAAGTCCTCACCCACCAGTGTTTTCCTTATCAATGTGTATTTCTTAATGGAAGAAAACTAAACCACTGCATGGTACGTTTAAAGCCTTTGAAATGATTAAGCAGTTAATCCACTCATCATCTATTCGCGTTGTGCAGAGATGCAAATAGGTTTTGGTGCTTGTAATGCAGAGGATATCACTGCTGTCTCATTGTGACTTCTTGCAAAGCTGAAGCACAAACAGTTTGCCTTGAACTGCCCTCTGCTGGCTCCGAAGGTCTCACACAAACATCTCTGGAAGCAGGGGCACATTTTGCTTTATAAAACACTCCAACAATGGGGTTTGACATTTATAACAAATTGAAACATTAAATGTAGAAAAACCAAGACGAGGCATGACACCGTTCCACCTAAGGAGAAAAAAAGAAAAGAAAAAAAAACAACTTGCAGAACAGCCCTCAGTGCCTCTGTTTCTTTGAAAGCCGTGAAATGCGATTCACATGTTTTTACACCGTACAAAAGATGGAGCCTTGTGGATTTCTTAAATGTGAATTCCCAAAGGATGTAGTTCAGGGTGAAAAAAAATATCATGAATTGATTTTTTTATATATATCTACTGTATGTGTTCAGATCAGAGTATGTTGAAAATGTGTAAACATGAACTGAAGGCTGCTGAAAGCAGTAAATATGAACAAATGTCAGTAAAATGAAGCATTTCCAAGTCTTTTGAATGATGTGTACTTACATGTCTTTTTTAAATAAAATGTGAGGCTTTCTTTGTTTTATATTTTAATGACCTCATTGCTGAT